TGCTGCTGCATGGGCATTCACAGAATGAGAGTGCTATAATAGGAGATGCCCAGAAGTGCACTCAAGTTTAGCCCTGCTATGTGCCACTTTCATGTATTTTTTATGTGTCTATTGTGTACTAACCTTATAGTATTCTCATATGTGAGGAGTGTCCTAGTTCTGCTCTGAAGAGCATAATTAATGTCCCCATTTAGGCTGAATAATGCTGTTGTGCGTGTTTATTATTTATTGTGGCCATTACCTGAAAAATTCTTAGACACAAAATTCACACACTTCCCCAAGGTTTGATGTATACCCCATCACCCATCATATTAAGGAGTGGTTCACACCAATGCATTGTGCTTTTGCAGTGCATTTTTGTGCTTTTTCATGTGTGTTTTTTTTTTCATCTTTTTTTTTTTTTGTTGAAAGTGGAATTTTTTTTTGTTGCTGGGCAGAATAAAAAACATGAAACTTGGCAAAATCATCACAAAAATGCACTACATGCTTTTCAGCAGCTTCTCCATTGAACTCTATTGTAGCAAAAAAGCTGCTTTTTTTTTGCTATTGTAGCAAAAAAGTCCCCGGTCCATTCCTAAAACGTAGCAGCTCAAAAAATCATAGATATGAATATGCCCCATAGGAAACCATGTTAACTGGACTAGAGTGCGTTTCTGCAAAAAGAACTGAAAAAATGTATTGGTGTGAACCAGGCTTAAAGGTAGATTTTAATGTGCGAATAATCCACATAAACAGGGACCCAGCTGGGTGTAAAATGAGAAACCAGCAACTCCCTGTTAAAGAGTCCGTGGGTGGTGAGCTAAATCTTTGTCCCCAGGTGTGTTAGATTGCATGTCCCCTGCTCATTGGTTTCACCTTCTGACCACTATGTCACCACAAGTCACAGTAGTGATGTAGTGGTCACAGACAGAGTAACTTTAAAGTATAATTATTTAAATCCAGGCAAATATTATTATTATCATTATTATTATACAGGGCTTATATAGCGCCAACAGTTTACGCAGCACTACAATATAAAGGGAACAGTACAATTACAATACAGCTCAATACAGAAGCAGTAGGAGGGCCCTGCTCATGGAGCTTACAATCTAAAAGGGAGAGGGAGGTGGTACAAAAGGTAACAGCTGCAGTGGATGATCTGATGGAGGTGACTCAAGTACAGTTCTTAAGTGGAGGTAAGGTAGGCTTCCCTGAATAAAAGAGTTTTCAAGGAACGCCTAAAGTTGGACAGGGTAGGAGCTGACTGGACATACTGGGGCAGGGAGTTCCAAAGAATGGGAGAGACTCTGGAGAAGTGTAGAAGGAAATAACAAGGGAGCTAGAGAGCAGGAGATCTTGAAGCGGAGATACACTACTATTTTTAAACTGGTGTTCTCCAGTGCTGTTCACTGATTCTTAGGTGACTGTAGCTGCTTAAAACTCTGGCAGCCCTTGGCAGTTTGTCACCCTGCCCTAATGTAAATGACAGATAAAAGCCTTATTTTTCTAATATGTGGTGCATGTTGGTTTATGCGTGAAGATAAAAAAAAGCATGCATTTTTTTTATTAAGTCGCCATTATGTGTGAATGGCCTTTTGTGAAATTCAGAGCTGTTGAATTATTTAATACAACTTTTATTACAAGGAATATATTACATAATTGGCCAGATTTATCAAATGTCATATGTTCATGCAATTCCATTGTGACATTTGGAATGCAGCATTTTAAACTGAAATTGTTGGCCATGATAATTTCTGGTGATATAGGACTAAAATAGGTATTAAACTCTATCCTTCTGTGCAGTGCAAGAAAGGGGTTTCCAGGAAGTTTTTTTTTTCCGACTGGGATTTTGAGTTGCATGTACAACCAATGTTGTCTGAACAGTTTGATGAGCAATATACTGTGAATGTAGTTAAGAAATGCTTCCATTTTAGACAATGTAAACTACTGTCCAAGTAGCACTGTAAGTTATCTATGTATAATTGTGGCCTGATCTAAAGTGGTTCTAAACAATAATGTTTTTTTATCTTGATGCATTATCTGCATTAAGGTAAAAAACCTTCCACTGCATGTTCTCTCCCCTCCACCTCCCAAACACTTAACTGGGTCCTTTATCGATCCAACGCTGTATCTTTCTGCTGACGTTCACTCTCCTTTGCCTGGTCCCACAGGCTTTGCTAACAGCAGTGGCTCCTTCTAATGTCAGTCAAACCCATAGAGCAGGGCCGAGCCACACTGTGCATGTCTATGGGCATACACAGCTTAGCTTGGGAGCTTGCTATGGGGGCAAACACAGAAGAGAAAAAGCTACATTTGCTAGCAGGGAACCCCAGAAGAGGAGGTTCAGGGCCGCTCTGTGCAATACCATTTCACAGAGCAGGTAAGCATATCCCTGTTTATAATTCAATGTAAAGAAAAAAATGTCCTTGCTATCACTTAAAATACACGACTTAAGCATTATATAATTTTTTTTTATAAATCTCCAATTTATGAAATATATGGCTATAATTGTGTCTTTAAGGGTCCATGTACACTGGCTTAAAAAAGGCCAGTGCTCTTTTCAGAAAAAAACGCTAATTTTGAGTGTTTTTTTGTACTAGCGTTTAAGATCATTTAGGAATGTTTAGCAGCGTTTAGGAACATTTAAGAGCAGCATTTTCTTAAGCCAGTGTGCATGGACCCTAAAAGATCTGTTCAGCTTTTCAGATACAATGGTATCCACTTTCTTCTCAAGTCACCAGTACATCATTTTTGTGTCTGTAAAAAAACACAAAAACCTATCTTTAAAAAAAAATATTTCCTAATCTTTTAAACACAGCCTATTTCTGTTTGAATTTGTCGTAATATAATTACTTTTTACATTTACAGCAGCACGAAGTTTACTGAAGAAACCTGATGGAGTCAAGGTATGTTTGGAGAATTGAACCATTATCTAATTATTTGCAGGACATTTTTCATATTGCAGCAACCCAGGGTACTGTGAAGGTGCTATGTTTCACACTAGACCATACATTCTGACAAGATGGTATTTCAACCACTGTGTTTTCTGGGATTTATGACACATCTATTCTTTGATATTTCAAGATTTACAGATATTGTAGTAGAAACTGAGTGGCATCCATAAAAGTCAGGCTGTTATAGTTTTGCCTAGTTATGGAAGTTTAGTGCACTGCTAAAAAAAAAGTAACCAGTGTACACAAGCCTTGAAATTTAAATAGCTCATTGATATTTTTTGATGCTCTTCTGATATTTTAAACCAGAAGAAAAAATACTTTAAAATAGAACTATAGATAGATTAAAAAAAAATCCAAATTTAATCCAGTTTAGTGATTATTAGAATTGTTAAATGTATACAAATTTCCTCAATCTGTATTTATATAACCTCCAGTATTCCCCTGTACTGCAGTGAAAGCAGAAGGTACATTATATAAGCCATTTAGAATTCACTGCATTGCACAATTTGTTTTCAGAAGTGTCGATTTTTATTAGTGTCCTGCTACTCCTTTGTCATCCAGTTATAGGTAGGGAAGGTGCTTGACCAATCTGCGTTAATTTAGTTGCAGTAGGAAAGAGTAAAGTCAGTGATCTGGCTGTGCTGTCTGGCAATGGGTTGTAAAACTCAAGATTGGATGAACAGAATTACAGTTCTCACACTTACCTTTTCTCCTGTATATTTGGATGCCTACCTATAGTTCTGCTTTAAATATGTTCCTTCCTTTTTCAATTTCAGAATTGTTTTCTGTTTGTCTGCTAACCTCAGTAAATGTTGACGGGTATTCTATCAGCTATGCTAATATTCATGTAAATCTATTAACTTCTTATCCCAGCAATGTGATTAGCCCTTAACTAAATTTACCAGACTTATTAGCTTATGTATACAAAATGCTTGATTTTAGTTTGTGATGGTGTATTTTTTGTTTATTTATTATACTGTTGAACCATAAAGCAATGTTGTGAAATGTTGATGGGAGAGTATATATTCTTTTACCTAGTCAGTGGATACTTTCCTTTACAAATATAGGATCCGTAAGTATTAAACATATTATGACTCTCTCTAGAGCAGTGGTATTTAATTTTGTCCTAGCTCTAAAACAGCACTTTTGTGATATATTAAATACAGTATGTCAATCAAAAATGTAAATACTGTGCATATATATATATATATATATATATATATATATATAAAACATACACACTATATTGCCAAAAGTATTGGGGCGCCTGCCTTTACAAGCACATAAACCTTAATGGCATCCCAGTGCGTAGGGTTCAATGTTGAGTTGACCCACCCTTTGCAGCTATAACAGCTTCAACTCCTCTGGGAAGGCTGTCCACAAGGTTTAGGAGTGTGTCTATGGGAATGTTTGAACATTCTTCCAGAATGTGAGGTCAGGCACTGATTTTGGATGAGAAGGCCTGGCTCGCAGTCTCTGCTCTAATTCATCCCAAAAGTGTTCTATCGGGTTGAGGTCAGGAATATGTGCAGGCCAGTCAAGTTCCTCCAAACCAAACTCACTCATCCTTGTCTTTATGGACCTTGCTTTGTTCACTGGTGCACAGTCATGTTGGAACAGGAAGGGGCCATCCCCAAACTGTTCCTACAAAGTTGGAAGCCGGAAATTGTCCAAAATGTATTGGTATGCTGCCCCCTTAGTTACCTTCACTGGAACTAAGGGGTCAAGCCCAACCCCTGAAAAACAATCACACACCATATACCCCCCCCTGCACCAAACTTCACACTAGGCACAATGCAGTCAGACAAGTACCTTTCTCCTGGCAGCCGCCAAACCCAGACACGTCCATCAGATTGCCAGACAGAGAAGCGTGAATTGTCACTCCAGAGAACAAGTTTCCACTGCTCTAGAGTCCAGTGATGGCGTGTTTTACACCACTACATCCGAAGCTTTGCATTGCACTTGGTGATGTAAGGCTTAGATGCAGCTGCTTGGCCATGGAAACCCATTCCATGAAGCTCTCAATGCACTGTTGTTCTAATCTGAAGGCCACATGAAGTTTGTAGGTCTTTAGCTACAGTTGGCGACTTCTGTGCACTGTGCGCTTCAGCATGCGTTGACCACTCTGTCATTTTACGTTGCCTACCACTTCGTGGCTGAGTTGCTGTTGTTCCCAGTTGCTTCCACTTTGTTAAAACAACACTAACAGTTGACCATGAAATATTTAGTAGCAAGGAAATTATTGCACAGGTGGCAACCTATCACAGTACCACTCTTGAATTCACTGAGCTGCTGAGAGCGACCCATTCTTTCACAAATGTCTGTAGAAGCAGTCTACATGCCTAGGTGCACGATTTTATACACCTGTGGCCATGGAGGTAATTGGATCATCTGAACCCAATGATTTGGAAGGGCATCCTAATACTTTTGGCAATATAATGTATGCAGTAAGTGTGTATATATATATATATATATATATTTATATTTGTAAATATATGTGATAATATAGAAGTTTCTTAAACAGGCAAACATAACATGTTGTTTGCGTGTTAACGAATAATATGGCTCTAATTACAAGTGGGTAAAACATGCTCTGTTAGTGAGCCTCAAGTACTGAAATTAGGTGGCACTGCTTTACAACAAAGAAACAATAACAGTTTTGCTCAATTTAACCTGATAGACATTCACTAGAATTTCCTATCCCAACTTCTTTGTAGCCAGTTTTAGTAGAATGAATATAGTTCTTTTGGGTGGAAGAGTTTTTTAATAAAACTGTACTAAGTTGGATGTATGAGGCATCAGTTCAGTCGGTTTCTGCTCTTATTACAGACATCCTTGTGAGATTTTTTATTTCAATTTATATCCTTGTACATGAAACATGGCCTGTTTAACACATATCTATGTTAGGTAGTCATATTGCATACATATAATTCCACATTCCAACCTGTTATTTTGTTCCTTTTTTAATTTTTATTTGCCCCATTTTTGACTCTTGAAATTAGAAAAGGAAGTCAAGCTCCTGTGTTCAAATGACGGTGAGGACATTTTCTGAATGCATCCTCTTAGAGCTTAAAATAGAATTACTGTGCTTGAGCCTTTATTACTGACATAGTTTGCCTTTCTGCATTGTATAGATAGTGTAATCTTGTCTCTTTTATCGAAAATCAGGCAGTTCCATCTTGCTTCAAATCCTACCTCTTTTTTTTTTTTAGAGGGGGGGAGGGATTTAGCATTGTTTAAGGTATAGGCAACTTTTACTACTGCTGCTTTTAATGTGAAACTTGAGTCTGATTTATGAAAAAAATGCTTTCTTGCAGAACATAATTTGAGGTTAATTTAATAAAGGCAAATAGGCTGTTCACTTTGCAAGGGCATTTTCACTTTACAGTGGAATGTTCCCTTAGCTTAGTGAATGTGTTGAAAATTCATTTTGCAAAGAATAACCAACCAAGCACTTGTGTAAAGAAAAATATGAATATTTTTCAGATTCCATTTACAGGAGAATTTAATTGCATCTTGGAATGACCTTTCTTGTAATGCTTGTGTGTTTTTATGCAAACTGTACAGAGACTGGATGTGCCACATCACCCAATGAAATATTTTTATATTCAATAATAGAAGCAGAAACTGTTTCTTTCTTCTTTTTCACCTCATAAGATAATGAACAGTAGAGAAACTTGACTTCAGATAACATTATAATTTCAGTATCAACTGGTTCTACTTTTGTGGTCAATAAATATATAGTAAAAATGTAACGATTCTGCCATTTATTCTTTCCAAATGCTTAGCTTAAAATATTCTTATAAGTGAACATGCAAGAGATGGTGCTTTTGCATCTACTATCCAGTTGAAATATGCAAGGCCCACTATAAAATTACAGATAATATATTATGCAAACAGCTATATCATACTATAGTGCCTATTAAAAATGCATTTATGATTTTGGGATATTATAAGGCAATCCGTGTTTTACCAGCTCTCATGTTGCAGACCACTGGTAAATGTTCAGTATTGGCCAGTCAAACATTGATTAAGACTGTATTGATTGCCACATATTTACAGAAAATTCCTTTGACAGTCTAGGAAAAGGCATAATATCAGATAATATTATGTTACCAATGATTTGAAATGAAGAAGTGCGGGGATTAGAGCCGTGAACACTGACAGTACAGTGGAGCAGAGACTCTGGAGCTGATTGGCTTGTGAGAGAGTATAAAATGCACATAGTGGGTTTTAATACCACAAGTTGCATCCTTTTCCAGCATGTTATTGTACGATAGATATATATATATATATATATAGATATATATATATATATATATATATATATATACTATATTGCCAGATGTATTGGGATGCCTGCCTTTACACACACATGAACTTTAATGACATCCCAGTCTTAGTCTGTAGGCTTCAGTATTGCGTTTGTGCACTCTTTGCAGCTATAACAGCTTCAGCTCTTCTGGGAAGGTTGTCCACAAGGTTTAGGAGTGTGTCTGTGGGAATGTTTGACCATTCTTCCAGAAGCACATTTTTGAGGTCAGGCACTGAGAAGCCTTGGCTCGCAGTCTCCACTCTAATTCATCCCAAAGGTGTTCTATCGGGTTGAGGTGGGGACTCTGTGCAAGCCAATCAAGTTCCTCTACCCCAAACTCGCTCATCAATGTTTTTTTGGACCTTTGTGCATTGGTGCGCAGTCATGTTGGAGCAGGAAGGGGCTATCCCCAAACTGTTCCCACAAAGTTGGGAGCATGAAATTGTCCAAAATGTCTTGGTATGCTGATGCCTTAAGAGTTCCCTTCACTGGAACTAAGGGGCCAAGCCCAATCCCTGAAAATCAAATCCACACCATAATCCCCCCTCCACCAAACTTTACACTTGGCATAATGCAGTCAGGCAACTACCATTCTCCTGGCAACTGCCAAACCCAGACTTGTCCATGGGATTACCAGACAGAGAAGAGTGATTGTCTCTCCAGAGAACATGTCTCCACTGCTCTAGAGTCCAGTGGCAGTGTGCTTTACACCACTGAATCCAACGCTTTGCATTGCACTTGGTGATGTAAAGCTTGCCATGGAAACCCATTCCATGAAACTCTTTACACACTGTTGTGCTAGTGTGAAGATCACATGAAGTTTAGAGGTCTTAAACTATTGACTCTGCAGATAGTTTGCTACTTCTGCACACTGTGCGATTCAGCATACGCTGACCCTACTCTGTCATTTCACGTGGTCTGCTGTTCCCAGTTGCTTTTACTTTGTTATAATACCACTAACAGTTGACCGTGGAATATTTAGTAGCAAGGAAATTTCACGGATGGACTTATTGCACAGATTGCAACCTATCACGGTACCATGCTTGAATTCACTGAGCTCCTGAGAGCGACCCATTCTTTCACAAATGTCTGTAGAAGCAGTCTGCATGCCTCGGTGCTTGATTTTATACACCTGTGGCCATGGAGGTGATTAGAACACCTGAATCCAATGATTTGGAGGGGTGTCGCAATACTTTTGGTAATATATATATTCCCTTTTTAATGTATAACATTCTTCAGTTGCTGTGACATGGATGGGATGAAGAAGGTTCAGGGACATGATGATTTGATTTGATTTCAACTGAAGAGGAATTAAGAAACAGGTCATGCAAGGTCAGTGGGGCATGCATTTTTACAGTGTATGCTTTATTTAAAATTCCTTGCATGGTAAATTATTCCCGCACAATATACTGTATTGAGTAGGGGAGATTAAACCAACAGCAATCACTGCAACAATAAAATGGAGTTAGCCTCATCTAGGAGCAATTTGTGTGTCATCTTTTAGCGCTATATAAATACTGTATAATAATAATAATAATAATCTATTCCCATTTGTACAGTCCCAGATCAAGTATAATTACAAGTGGGTGTTTAAGATATTTTCAGCTTACTATGATTTCTAGATGAGATTGTTTTTTTGAGAAAGCTGCTCAGCCCCAAATATTCTAACTTTAATTTTGCTGCTTATCCAAGTCTTTGAATATCATTTTAAGGCTATCCTGGTGTAGTATCTGACTGTCTAGCATCTGTGGATTTAAGAATCCTCACTTAATAAATTGTAGATGTGTTTAATTTGAATACCCAATTGACTGAAGGTTCTTGACTCCGTTAGTAAATCAGCCTCAGTCTGCCAGCATAAGACTGCAATTGCATGATTAAACTATTAAGTCCTTTAACTGGACTTTCAGTGACTTTATAAATCTGCATAAACTCCTGACATGTAATAATATACAGCAGCAGTAGAATATTTAAAAATATGTACCTTTTTATCTTTAACCACTTCAATACAAGGCATTTTTTTACCCCCTTCCTGCCCAGGCCAATTTTCGTCGCTCTCACAGTTTGAATGACAATTGCGCAGTCATGCAACACTGTACCCAAACTAAATATTTATCCTTGAATTTCACTGCTATAGGCAAGCATTTAACTGAATGAAATCAATTCATTTAGTGTTTTTTGTTGTGATTAGCTGTGATTGGCCACAGTTAATCACATGACACAGATGGGCTGTGATTGGCCCTGTCTGTACATGTGATCACTGTGACCAGTCACAGCTAACAACACAATTGTATACAATGGATGGCATAAAGTGAAGCCATCCATTGTTTACAATTGTCATGTGACCTGCTGTGATTGGTCATAGCAGTCACATGGTACCAACAATGGTCCAGTACACAGATCAGTCATTGTAGGATACAGCCAGTGACAGGTTTTGCCGCAGTACGGCCCCACGGGCGCAAGCAAGGTGGTGATTCGGGACGACATCATATGACATCAACCCAGATCAATGAGAGTCTTGCTCGGCCCTCATTCTCCTATAGTCTGGGTGGGAACTTGAAAAAAGTAGTGGTTTCACTCTCATCAAGTGACGTGCCTTGGTTCAGATGATATCAGTCTGCTGCAGGCAGGTGCAATCATTTCCTTTCAAGCAAGTCACAAGGTGATGGGCTAGAGTAATGAGCTGATCTGTGTCAGACATTTGTTAACACATCCGAGATCTGACCCTAGATGATGGCCTGGACAGAGATGGCTCTATCCTTCTGCGGAGAAAAGCAGATGAAACCGTTGACAATGATTTCTATGAGAGGTAGTAAATACCTCCTCACATTACTTAGAACGCATACAGGAAACATGAAAAATATACAGCAGGGAAAATAATTATTTAATCCCCTGCATATTTTGTAAGTTTGCCAACTTCCAATGACATGAAGGGTCTATACTTTTTATTATAGGTGTATTTTAAATTATAGAGACAGACTATCAACCAAAAATCCAGAAAAAAAACACATGATACAAATCCTATAAATTGAGTTGCAGTTCAGTGAGTAAAATAAGTATTTGATCCCCCACCAACCAAGAATAATTCTGGCTCCCACAGACTGGCTATGTGCTCATGTGATACACAGATTAGTTCTGTCAATTTAAAAAGGTGTTCCTAACGACATTGCGTTATGTGTATAAAAGAGAACTGTCCACAGAATCTCTTTTTTCCATTCAAACCTTACCACCATGGGCAAGACCACAAGCTGTCAAAGGATGTCAGGGACAAGATTGTAGACCTGCACAAGGTTGGAATGGGCTACAAGACCATCAACAAGAAGCTTGGGGAGAAGGAGACAACTGTTGGAGCGTTTATTCGAAAATGGAAGAAATACGAAATAACCATCAGTCGCCCTCGGTCTGGAGCTCCATGCAAGCTTTCACCTCATGGAGTAAGGATGATCATGTGAAAGTGAGGGATCATCCCAGAATTACACAGGAGAAGCTTGTGAATGATCTCAAGGTAGTTGGTACCACAGTCTCTAAACAAACCATTAGTAACACAATACACCACCATGGATTGAAATCCTCCAGCGCCCGCAAGGTCCCCCTCCTCAAGAAGGTACATGTACAGGCCCGCCTGAAGTTTGCCAATGAACATCTAAATGGTTCAGAAAAGGATTGGCAGAAAGTGCTGTGGTCAGATGAGACCAAAATTGAGCTCTTTGGTATTAACTCTACTCGTCGTGTTTGGAGGAAGAAAAATGTTGACTATGACCCTAAGAACACCCTCTCTACAGTCAAGCACGGAGGTGGGAACATTATGCTTTGGGGCTGTTTCTCTTCTAAAGGTACAGGCCAACTTTGCTGCAGTGAGGGGTCAATGGATAGAGCCATGTATTGCAAAATCTTGGATGAGAACCTTCTTCCCTCAGCCAGAACACTGCAGATGGGTCGTGGATGGGTTTTCCAGCATTAAACTTGCCCAAAACATACCGTTAAGGTAACAAAGGAGTGGTCATGGAGTGGTCTAGCCAGTCTCCAGACCTTAATCCTGTAGAAAATTTATGGAGGGAGCTGAACTTCGAATTGCCAATCGACAGCCAAGAAACCTTAAGGATTTAGAGAAGATTTGTAAAGAAGATGTGTGCAAACCTGGTAACCAACTACAAAAAAACATCTTACCTTTTTGCTTGCCAACAAGGGTTTCTCCACCAAGTACTAACTCATGTTTTGCTTCGGGGTCAAATACTTATTTTACTCACTGAACTGTGACTCAGTTTATAACATTTGTATTATGTGTGTTTTCTGGATTTTTTGTTGATATTCTGTCTCAATCATTTAAAATACACCTTTGATAAAAGGTATAGACCCATAATTTCTTTGTAAGTGGGCAAACATACAAAATCTGCAGGGGAACAAATATTAATTTTCCGCACTGTACCTGATGATATGTTTACTAGTATGCAACGCATACTAGCACGTTATGACAGACTTACCTATAGAGCGGATCCCTCTAGCAGCACGCTGTCACTGATGATTGGGATTCCATCATCACCTGGTCTTCCTTCCAAATTCGCTCCAGCAGTTGTGACCACATCTGTCCCATGCATGCGTGCGGGAGTCACGATCGTGGCACAGCGCTCTGAACTGACACTCGAGTGTCCCGTCTGTTCAGCATGTGGTCGCATGTTGCGACAGATGTGAATATCTCCTAAACCTTGTTATAGACTAACCTGTAGGTACAAGTGAAAAAGTGGACTTTACTACCACTTTAATTCCCATTTTAAATGGCCATGGAGGTGTATTTATATATGAAGAATGAAAGCAGTTATGAAGGCAAAAGGGGGTCCAACCCGGTACAAGCAAGGTGTACCTAATGAAGTGGCCAGTGAGTGTACATTGTATATATACTTGATCATAAGACAATATGTGAGACAGAAAAAGAATATCAGATAAAATATGCATTAATATAGATAGGTATCCCATATGCCTACGCATTTCTGGGGTCTTGCCCACTTCTTCAGGACTAGGAAAATCAGAGGATTAACACAATATTTTATAGTATAGGTGTGAAGGTATATATACAATAATGTCTGAAATAACAAATGCAAATATTAGTACCCAAAATAGTGCCAATATATAACACACATGTATCTTTGCATCATATAAGTATACAGTTTCCCCCATAATATTCTATCCAATATGATTCCATTTCCACATAAAAGGACAACATGTGCATCCCCATCCACCCATATCAGTGTTAAGGGTGCCTAGAATGTTAAAAAATGGATGTAAAAGGCTGAATAAAAAACATTAGTTAATAATAAGACAAGAAAAAAAAACTCCATACCTGAAACACTGAGAAGGGGGGTCCTCAAAAAGGTCCTCCACAAGTGTTGCCATCCTCTGAGTGCCGGTTCACATATATGTGGATTGGATGCGGTTTGAACCGCATACAATCCGCATGGCATGTGAAATAACATTGCTTCCTATGGTGTCTGTGCACAAATGTGTGGTGCACTGGCAGTGCAGATTGAAAAAGAGTCCTGTACGATTTCTGAGCAGTGCGGTCTGGTTCATGTACAGAAAACAGGCTATTGACTTTCATGGGAACCGTTTCTAAACCTTATGTGTGGACAGGATAAAATCCTGACCTGAACCTGTCCTGAAGTAAACTTGACCTGAACCGCTGAACATCTACTGTGTCAATTAGCTGTGAAACCTGAGCTTCAATCCGCATTGCACATGTGTGAATCAGCTCTCACTCTGGTGGAAAGGACAGATGTTCTCATCCACCTGGGCTCAGTCAGCCCTCTTGTACCACCCTGGCCCAAAGATTACCTCACCTCCATTGTGGCCTGGAACACTCCCTGGTCCCTTAACTCAGAACCATATTGGAGCAGCAGTGTTGAAGCTGCCCCCTGAACCCATAAAACACCCCTTCTGCTGCCCCCTGCACCCTAGAGCAAAAAAGATGTTATCCAGCGCTATACCCCCATGAGAGAGGATGCAACATCTGGGCATCACCAAGCAACCAAGGCGCCAGAATGGCATTAACCCCCAACAGACAGCCCTGAAATCCAACAGCGGACACAGTGAAGGACAGGCTTCTGCCCACCCCTTTGCAGGAACACCTGTAAATTCCCAGTAAGTAGTTTTTTATTATTATAGATACATATCTTTGCAATGAATTATATCTTTATTTTA